TGCTTTCTTCCTGTTGGATGTTCTTGATGTCATCCTATAACTTTTCTGACTTTAGGTCATTAGTGTCTAATGCATCAAATCGATTCTTGTGGTGCTCTCTAAACTCAGATGGGATATGTTTTAGGTTGTATTTTGGCTCTCAGAGACTTGTTTTAATTTTCTTCAGCTTCAGCCTGAACTTGCATATGAATAATTGATGATGTGTTCCACAGTCAGCACCTGGCCTTGTTTGGCTTTCCCATCCTCTCTTCCCACAGATATGGTCAGTTTGATTTCTGTATATTCTGTTTGATGAGTCCCTTGTGTACAGTCGTCTTTTACGTTGTTTTAAAATTCTGCAATGAATATGTCATGGGTATTAAAAATCTTCTATCAGCCTCTTCCAGCCTCTCCTCATTATGCAATGCTACAATCACTTCCATGTTTGAAGTATCTGTTAGAGCACCCCCAATTCCTCTGGTACCGAATTCTGTCCTAGTTCTTTACGGCTGCTGTCACAGAAATATCAAGCGATTACTTTAACGGACAATTATTTTCTCACAGTTTGTTGTTAAGTGCCATTGAGTCAGTTCCAACTCATGGTGACCTCCAAAGAGCCACTGATAGGTTTGAGCTTCAAACCTGTGTTTCACAGTCCAGTGTTGACCCTGCAATACCACACCAGGAGTCCTCTGTAAAGATCGTTGTAGTTAAGTGCCATTGAGTCAGTTCTGACTCATAGCAACTCTGTATAGGTTTGAACCACCAACCTTGTGGTTCAAACAGACCTTGTCTAGGTTTATCCCACAATGCCACATCAGGACTCGTTCTTTAAAGATTACACCCGTGGAAGTATGGAGTAGTTCCTCATGTGAACTATGCAGAATGACTTCACTTTGCACTGAGGATAAAGTCCTAAATCTTCAGCATGGCTAGCTGTGCATTCCATGAGCCAATCTCTGCTCAACTCCCTCTCCAGTCTCATTGCATCACTTCCCTGCACATCCCAGCTTGCTTTGCTGTAGTGAATTGTCTTGTGTTCTCTTTAGCCTCCAAGCCTTGTAGATCCCTGTGTTGTTAAGTGCCATCGAGTCAGTTCTGACTGACAGTGACCCTGTATAGGGTTTCCGAAGAGCAGCTGGTGTGTTTGAACTGTCGACCTTGTGGTTCGCAGTCCAGTGCTGATCTTACAGCACTACACCAGGAGTCATGGAGTCCTATAGCATGCTCTGTTTCCTCTTTGATAACAGGGATCACATCTGACTGCATGATTTGTTTTCTTGGCTGAACTCCCAACTCTGCTTTGCTCACCATCAGTGCCTAGCACATAAAAAGTATGCACAACAGTTTGTTGAATGAATAAGCGGTCAGGTTATTGGGTGAGAGACTATTGTAATTGCATTGTTTGTGAATCAACAGAATGAGTTGGTTCAACATTTGATAAACCGAATTTGTGAACTATTTAAACTAAGGGGTGGGACTGAGTCTGAGCACAGATTCTGTAGTGAGTTTTAAATGAGCAGAGAGAATTTTATATTATGACTCGAAAGTCACTAAGAACAGAAAAAATGGTTGTGATGGTGGTGTTGAGTATAGAGCTTTCCCAGAAAGTTGATAAAATAAAGATGTAAGTGCAGCTGCTAAAAGGATAAGTAGCTAAAGAAACCGACTGCAAAGGCTGATTTACACTGCAGCTGGTGATATGTAATTAGGACAGGTCATAATATGAGACGAAACATGCTCTTGGGTTTTCTCTAACAGAAAGTTCAGGTGGGTTTTAAAGCTAAGTACTGTTGAGAGCTACAAGTGTTATGCTTTCATCTCAGCCCTGAGGGTACAACAATACAGCTAGACTGCTGGTTTAACTTACTGTGTTCTTCTGAGACCTGAACTACTGCCAATTAAAACATTTTAGGTGGAAACTTTTCCTGGAAAGAATTTTTTTCACCAGCTTAAGAGAAGGAGTAGAGTTCTGGGCCTGAAATAAAGAGACTACAAAGGGCACTTGCTTCAGAAACATAATTTTTTGCAGTGTGTACTGTGGAACCCTGGTGGCACAAATAGTGAAACACTCAGCTATTAATGGAAAACTTGACAGTTTGAAGTCCCCCAGGGACTGTGGGGAAAAGACCTGTTGATTTGCTTCTGTCAAAAGCCCAGCTTGGACAGCCCTTTGGGGAAGTTCTACCCTGTCACATGCTGCTGTTAAATACCATTAAGTCAGTTCTGATTGTAGTGACCCTGTGTATCGCTGCCAAGGCACGGCTGTTGGGTTTGAACTGCTAGCCTTGCAGTTAGCAGTTCAGTGCTCCACATCAGTCAACACTGACAGTACCTAACAACCCCGGCATTGGGACAGATTCATGTGAACTATACTTGCTTTGATGTTGTTGTTAAGTGCCATCGAATCGGTTCTGACTGATAGCAACCTGTGTAGGAGTGACTCGACCTTGATCTGCCGACCTTGCAGTCCAGCGCATTAACCCACAGAGCCACACCAGGATTCCATACTTGCTTTAGGATCAATATTTTAAGAAAAGAGTATATGCAGCTCTTTTAAATTTAGAATTTTACTCTAAGTAATTTAGTAAACTTTGTCAGCATAAAAAAATACAACACATGAAGGAATATCCTTTAATTTTCCTCTTAAGTGTAAAATTAAAACAGCACATTTAGCTATACTGCTCAGTACAAGAGCCAGTAGTCATATGTGCTTATTTACATTTAAATTTATTAAAATTAAAAATTCCACTATATTTCAATTGTGTGTGGGTAGTAGCTATAATATTGTGCGGTTATAGGATAGTTCCATCATTCCATAAAATCCTGTTTATTAGTGATGCCTAAGAGTGTGTTCTTTAGCAGTGTTCTCTGTGATTTACCTGATAGGACTCCTTTAGTCATAGTGTTTGTAACTCCCACCAAATGACTAGGTCATTGTTGTTAAGTGCCGTCAGGTAGGTTCCATCTTATAGCAACCCTATATAGGGTTTCAGAAGCTTTTTAAAGTCTTTGTGGAAGTAGAAAACCTCATCTTTCTCCTGTGGAGTGGCTGGTGGGTTCAAACCGTCAACCTTGTGGTTCACAGTCCAGTACTTATCCTATGGAGCTACCACACACCCAGTGACAGGATATTGTTAAGTGCCACCTAGTCAGTCCCAACCTATAGCTACCCTGTATAGGGTTTCCTAGGAGCCACTGGTGAGCTTGAACCGTTGACCTTGCAGTTCAAATGGCTTTGTAGTCTGGCGCATTAACCCACAGTGCCACATCAGGACTCCAGTCACTGGAATGTGCATGATTCCTGGTGTGGCGCTATGGGCTAATGCACCAGACTGCAAAGTCGATGGTTCAAGCTCACCAGCTGCTCCTTGGAAACTGTACAGGGTTGCTATGGGTCAGAACCGACTCAACGGCACTTCACAACAGCAACAGCATCCAGTCACTCATCCATAGACCTAATATTCATGAGTGACAGGGTAGAATCATGCATACTGGGTATATGGAATTCAACACCCAATCTGCATGGTGAGTATTGGTCAATTTTGCCATTCCAATCTGGGTATAGAATGAGCCGTCTCAGAAGCAGGAATGGGGGTTCTCGCTACCACCAATAAAGAACAGCAAAGAGCAGAGCATGTCTGCTGGACCCCGAGATATTTGCACGCTGAACCTCTTCAATCCAGGAGCCAGAGAGATCTGATAGCAGAGAAGTGGAGGTAGCACACGAGGGCTGAGATAGAGCAGTGGGCTTCCTGCCCATTGAACAAGAAGACAGGACCATCACGCAGAATGCTTGCTTGCTGTGGGACATCGCCAGGCAGTTAATCGTGGGTGGGGCTGGAGGGGCTGGGTTTGCTGACCCACAGAACTAGAGGCCTTTGGCCTGAAGTTGACTCAAGGGGGGATGGGACTGGAATGCCTTTTGGACATTTATCAGCAGCACTGTGAAAGAGCTTTAACACTGCATCTAGGGAAATGGAGAGTCAGTAAAAATGAAGTGGAATGCATAAAGATCCATATCCTAGGCATTGTTGTTCTTGTTAAGTGCCGTGGAGTCAGTTCTGACTCATAGTGACCCTGTACAGGGTTTCCAAGGCTGGAAATCTTTACGGGAGCAGAACGCCTCATCTTTCTCCTGCGGAGCAGCTGGTAGTTTCAAACTGCTGACCTTGCAGCTCGCAGCGCGATTCGTAACCACTACGCTACCAGAGAGTGAGCTGAAAAGGACTGGTATTGGTCATTCTGAATTGGATATTCATGATGTACTGTGCCAGGACTGAGAATTAGAAGAGGAATAGCATCACATTCATCATCAACAAGAACATTTCAAGATCTCTCATGAAGTACAATGTGCTTCCGTTATAGGGCAGTGCTCAAGGAATACCAGTTAATAGGACTATTAAAATTTATGCACCAACCTACTGTAGCCTAAGATGAAGAAACTAAACATTTCAACCAACTTCTGCAGTCTGAAATTGATCAGATATTCAGTCAAGAGTTATTGATAACGATTGGTGATTGGAATGGAAAAGTTGGAAATTATAAAGAAAGATCAGTACTTGGAAAATAGGACTTGGGAGGATAGAAGCAGTGCCGGAGTTATGAAAGATTTTGTGAGACCAACGACTTTCTTTCTTGTCTTTTTAATGAAAATTCTTCATGTCGTACCTCAGCTCTCTGGTCTTCTAAGGATTTGCTATATATGTGTATAAGGTCGTATCAATTGTAAATAGAGATATTTTGCTTCCTCCTTTCCAGTCTGAGCCCTTACTTAATTATTTGCCTAATTGCCCTGGCTAATTGCCCCCAAGTTTATATTAATGAGGAAGGAACAACTTATAAAAGAGAAGGAGATTGGGTGCACAGCTTAAAGAATGTTATCATTTTCACTAAAATGCACCTGTAGTAGCTGTTAAAATGATGTATGTTTTACCAGCATATTCTCAACAAATTTTTTTTTTTTTAATTTTTTAAGAATACTTTTGATGTATAATAAATTTGAACCTTTCTCCCCACAGAAAATGATCCACAGTCTGTTTCTCATAAACTGTTCCGGTGACATCTTTTTAGAGAAGCATTGGAAGAGTGTCGTGAGCCAGTCAGTCTGTGACTATTTCTTTGAAGCTCAGGAGAAAGCTGCTGATGTCGAAAATGTACCACCTGTCATTTCAACACCTCACCACTACCTCATCAGTATCTACCGAGATAAGCTCTTTTTCGTGTCTGTCATACAGACTGAAGTGCCACCTCTGTTTGTAATTGAGTTCCTACATCGAGTTGCTGACACTTTTCAGGTCAGTTACTTATCATACTCTTGAACTTAAATTAAAGTTATTTGGGGATGGAGAAAGTGGATTATAGGTATACTTAGTTTTATATTGCTTCTCTTTACTGACCTTTGCAGATAATTGCTTTTTAATTTTTTTAACATACTCATGGTTTGTGAAAACCCTGTGTCAAGCAAGTCTTACTGATGCAAGTTTTCCAATAGTGTGTGCTTACTTTTGTCACACCAAAAAGATCTGTGACTCACTTTATTGCAACGTTGACTTGATTGCGGTTGTGTGGGACAGAACCCATAAGCTGTCTGAGGTATCTCCGTTATATCGCCGTGTTATGTTCTTCCCTTACCCAGTGTTTGATGGATAATCCCTCCCTTCTTTTTCAGTAATCATAAATTCATAAGCCCTTTACTGTAGGGCATACAGTGACACTCAGTAGATTCATAAGGCAGTATATTATTCACTATTGTAGATTACAGAGCAGTCTCTTGGTCATGGAAGCCTTATGTGTGTATGCATTTGAAAATTAATGTCATCAGAAAACAGTAGAGCCCTCCACACACAGTTCTCTGCATGGTTCCAAGATGGTTTTAATTTGTCATGAATTTTTTATATTTTGTTAGTTTCCTTTATGTCTTCTTAAATATGTCAGTAACTTAAAATCATTTATATGTGTGTTTTGAGTCACCAGATCAGAGCGAATGAGATTTATAGGTCACACATTCCTCTTTAATATTTCAGTATACTAAAAATACTAAGAAAATATTGAGGAATAATAGATGCATAGAGCTTTTTTCCCGCTGGTTATGTATTTCCAACATCTTAAGCAGTGAATTGTGCTAACACATATCAGTAAATATGTGACCCTTCAGAACAAAACAAGTATTCAGTAAGCCTTTTTTTGTGCCTTCAGTTGTCCAATATTAATGTACATTTTCCTAGGACTACTTTGGTGAGTGTTCAGAGGCTGCAATTAAGGATAATGTGGTTATAGTATATGAACTCTTGGAAGAAATGTTAGACAATGGATTTCCATTAGCTACTGAATCCAACATTTTGAAAGAATTGATTAAACCACCAACAATTCTACGTTCTGTCGTCAATTCTATTACAGGTAAGGTGAAATAACGTTACATAGGTCTTAGCCATTAAAAATGTATAAATAATTCATTGCTGTTTATTATGAGATAGATTATTTGGGTAGTCCAAGTTGGCTGGAATTTAAAAATAGTGATAATGTCAAAATGAATGTTTACTTCTTTTCATTGAGAAGGTCAGTTATAGAGAAAGATTTCTGTGAAATGCTATATGCTACTCTGTGCTGTCTACCATTGGAGTCCTGGTATGGTGTTAGGGATTCATATGCTGGACTGAAAAGTTAGTTTGAAGCACAGGGTTGGCAATTCCAGCTCACCAGCTGCTCCTTGGAACTCCTGTGCAGGGTGGGTATGGGTCAGAACCGAGTCTACAGCCCTCAACAACAACTACTGTCTACCATTGTAAACTCCACTCCAGTGCCTTAATAGAGAGCGCCTCTGAGAACAAACTACCAGTCAGCAGCTGCAGCAGCCCTTTCTTCTCCATGCCAAGCTAAGTGGAAGGAGAAATTTAGAGAAAGGTAATAATATCAAAGTCTGTGCTTAAAACGAAAACTCTAGGTCGGAGACCAGAAAAGATCGATTTTAACGTAATTCCAACAGTGGAAGGTTTTTTAAAGCAATTCCATGTTTTAGAAACAATGTAGTAACCTTTGGAAATACATACAATATTAAATTATAAAACAAAATTATAAAAAATGTTTACTGACTTATACAGAGAGAATAAAGCTCTATAATGTTTACACTGATTATCTCCAGGTATGGAAATTACCTCCACCACTCATCTGTCAGTCTGTCATACTGAGACTGTCACTGTGGGGGCTTGCGTGTTGCTGTCGTGCTGGAACCTGCCTTTTCAATCCAGCAGCGTCACCCATGGTGGACAGATATCAGCTGAGCTTCCAGACTAAGCCAGACTAGGACGAAGCCAAGGTGGACTACTCATAAGTGTGTAGCCACTGAAAACCTTATGAATATGCATATGATAACATTATGCAGTGGAACAGTGTCAGATATAGTGCTGGAAGATGAAAACATGCAGACTAGCACCAGAATATTGTCAGATACATATAGTCCCCGATGATTAGCTTCTCAGCAGGTATGACTGGGGAAGAACTGCCTTCTCAAAACCTGACCATGATGACGCTAATAGAGTACAGCTTTGGGGACTAATATTTGCTAATGGGGCATAACTCAAAATGAGGAGAAACAGCTGCAAACATCCATTAATAATGAGAAATGAGACCACTGTTGAAAAAGTTAGACAAGATTTTCTTGTTAAATGAAACCTTCGGTGATGGGTACAATGTAGATTGGATGAGGGGGAAAAATGAAAGCGGTAAACAAACTGATGGTATGTGGAGTGGATTGCAATCATTGCAATGAAGTTTATAGTTTGTTGAATGTGGGATAGATGATCTGTTCTATAAACCATCACTCAATATACAATAAAATGTTAAAAAAAAAAAATCAGAACATGAAATATACGAAGTATGAATCTTGGTAAAGTAGAAGTTGTCAAAAATGTACAGAATGCATAAAGATTGATATCCTGGGCATTAGTAAGCTGAAATAGACTGCTATTGACCATTTTGAATCTGAAAATCGTATGTCTGGTTTACTATATGGGGAACAGCAAATTCATGAAAAATGGCATACATGCATCATCAGAAAGAACATTTCAAGATCTTTCTTGAAGTACAGTGAATGCTCTCTGTGATAGGATAATGTCTACACACCTACAAGGAACACCTTGGTGTGACACTGCAGGATAATGCTCTGGACTGAAAGATCAGTTTGAACCACAAGGTCGGTGATTCAGACCCACCATTTGCTCCTGGAAACCCTAAGCAGGGTTGTTATGAGTCGGAATCGACTCAGTGGCACTTAACAATGAGAAGAAGGAAGACCCGTTGATACCACTATTATTAAGATTTACTTACCAACTCCTAAAGCCAGTGATGATGAAATTAAAGAATTCTACTGACTTCTTCAGAGTCCTGGTATAGCACTGTGGAATAAAGCACTGGACTGCAAGGTTGGTTTGAACCTCAGTGTCAGTGTTTAAACTCATCAGCTGCTCCTTGGAAACCCAGTACAGGATCATTATGAATCAGAACTGACTCTACTGCACTTACCCATCAAGATGTATTGATATTTAATGGTGATTGGAATGAGATGGTTGGAAACAAAGAGGAAGATAAGGCGTTGATGACAGAAATGATGCTGAAAATCACATGATAGAATTTTGTAAGACCAATGACGTCTACATTGCAAATACCTTCTTTAAACAGCATAACAGACATACACATGGACCATACCAGATGGGATACCTAGAAATAAAATTGACTACATCTGTGGAAAAGCTCAATTATCATTAGCCAGAACCAGGCCAGGGGCATACTATGGAACAAACTATCAATTGCTCTTAGCAAGTACAGACTGAAGCTGAAGAAAATGAAAACAAGTCCTTGAGAGCCAAAATATGGCCTGTAATATGTCCTACGTGAATTTAGAGATCATCTCAACAACAGATTTGAATGATGCATTAGACATAAATGACCAAAGACCAGAAGAGTTGTGGAACAACATCAAGAATGTCATACATTCAAGTAAAACTTTCCTTAAGATAATTTTTAAACGGCATCAACCAAGAACTTCCAGAGGTTCAAGCAGGATTCAGGTAAGAACATGAAACGAGGGGTACCGTTGCTGACATTTAACTGATCTTGGCTGAAAGCAGAGAATATCAGAAAGCTGTTGTCGTGTGCTTTATTAACTATTCAGAGGCTTTCAACTCTCTATAGATCATTCCAGACTATGCTTCAAATACTTAGTGATGACGATCAAATACCACAGCCTTCAATTTGGATTGTACCTCAATGTAAAGAAAGCCGAGTCCTCACAACTAGATTAGTAAGTAACATCGTATTATAAATGGAGAAACGATTGAAGTTGCCAGACACTTCATTTTGCTTGGATGTACTGTCAACATGAAAGCAACATCAAAAAATCAAACGTATTCCATTAGGCAAATCTGCTGCACAAGACCTCTTCAAAGTATTCAAGAGCAAAGATGTTAGTTTGAGGATTAAGGTGCACCTGATTCAAGCCACAGTATTTTCAGTAGCCTCATACGTCTGTGGAAGTTGGACAAAGAATAAGGAAAACTGTCAAAGAATTATGGTGTTGGAGAAGAATATTAAAAGTACCATGCATGTCAGAAGAACAAACAAATCTGTGTTAGAAGAAGTACAGGCAGAACATTCCTAGGAAGCTTCATCTTTCTCCTGCGGAGCAGCTGGTAGACGGTAGACTCCAATTGCTGACCTTGCAGGACTCCATAGTTGATAAGGTTCACCTCCTAAATTAGAGTGGGTAGCCTGAAGCTCTACCCTAGAATCAATAGAGTTAAGTAAGAGGAATAAGAGAGCATTCATAGATGAGAAAAGCAAACACAAAATTAGTTGTACTCAGGGGATGTTGTAATTATCAAATTAGCTTACATAAAAACCTAAAAACCAATCCTGTCACCTCATAGCCACCCTAGAGAACAGAATAGAAATAGGGGTCCCCAGGGTCAGAATCGTTACAAAGGCAGACTGCCTCATCTTTTCCATAGTGGCTGGTGATTTTGAACCACCAACCTTTCGGTCAGCAGCCCAATACTTAACCACTTTGTCACTGCACTACAAACACCATCCATAAGCCGACTACACATTTGTATATACAGCTTGATTGCAATTAAATGTTAATGGTAGTTGTGTTTGGTGATAGGAAGATAGATTTTTGATAAATGACGTTTTCTGAACTTAACTTTATTAAACATGTATTTTGAAACATAAATGCAAATTAACAAAACTATTAACTGTATCACCGATCACCGATGATGTCTTTAGGACAGCCAGATTTGTTTTCAGACTTATTTCTGAATTTACCATGAAATTAGTCAGATATTGAACATTAGCCGTATTGCATCTGTGTAGGTCTGCTGACCTTAGAATGACAAAAAGCCAGGTATGTTTTTATCCTGTTATTCCATTGAGGCCTGCTTGGCAGCATCTCGTGTAGGATTATACTGAATACCAAAGAGCCTACTTATCACTGTATTCTCAGAGGAGACATTTTATCAGAAAGTTTTGAAACCAACAGCCTCCTTTTTTCATCAGTAGCGAAGCGGAAGGAGATTTTGTTGTTTAGCCATTGGAAATAGGTTAGGTTACTGTTAACACACAGGAAGCAAAAGATAAGTAAATGAATTTAACCTGGTTTGGCAGGTAGAGGACCACATGGCCCATTTCTGTCTTGTAGAAATTTGATCATGTTGGTAAGGACCAGTCACCAACAATTCTCTGGAAACCATCTACAACTTCAATAAGGAAAATTCCAAATATTGTAGAAACTGCTGATGTTTTTCTCTTTTCTGTCAATAGCTTCTTTTCTAATGACCATTTTATGCATCAACTTTGCTTTTTTCCCTTTTCTGTTTCTAGGCAGTAGTAATGTGGGGGACACACTCCCCACTGGGCAGTTGTCCAACATCCCCTGGCGCCGAGCAGGAGTGAAGTACACAAACAATGAAGCCTATTTTGATGTTGTCGAAGAAATAGATGCAATTATTGATAAATCAGGTAATTGTGTGTATGTAATCCTATTTGAGAAAAACAAAGCCAATACAAGCTGAAAAGAAAATTAAATTCCTTTGGCAGTGTGGCTTTATGCGGATATGCAATAGTTTTCTTACTATTTAAAAGTGTGTTCATTTTGCCCAGAAACTGCATATCATTTTCATAACCACTAGTTTGAGATCTGCCAAACATTTGTGAATGAGGTTTCATATGCTGCCTGACTGTAAGCCCAGTAGTACCATGTGTACCTCTCCCTGTTGCCATTTATTCATTCTAACACTGATTGTGTATCGTAGACCAAAGACGCTCTGGTGGCACAACAGTTAAGCACTCGGCTGCTAACAGAACATTTGGCAGGAGGAAAGAGCTGTGATCTATTCCTATAAAGATACAGCCTAGAAAACTCCATGGGCAGTTCTACTTTTGTCACATTCTGTCGCTATGAGTTGAAACGATTTGACAGTACCACATACCCTGCTTTTACTACCACTTTAGATCTAGAAAGAGTTTTTTAACCAGACAAAACGAAGGTACTCTATTTGAACCCTAAAATTTTGTTACTAAAAGTATCTTATCTAGCAATCATGCTATCGTACTATGTATAAGGACACCTGCTCAGGGTCACACATTTACTTCCTGTAAATGAAGTTATTATTGCCCATCTCTCTTCTTCAGTACCCTTATTATCGTAACCTTCCATCTTCTAGAATAATAGATGGTGGCTCCTGTTTATGCTGCAAGCTCAGTATGCAGCTCTCATTACACTCTGAGATGGAGACAGGCTTGGTTCTCCTCAGAGTTACCTGTTCTGACCAGAGTTAGTTGGAAATGTCCCTGTCCTCTTAAAGGAGGCACAAAGCTTACAGTAAGTCTTGACACCCAGGAATTGCCTCCCTCGCTCCACATGCTCTGGTAGCCTAGTGAATACCCAGAATCCATTGATGCAGTGGATTTTCTTTCTTTTTTTTCAGGATCTACAGTCTTTGCAGAAATTCAGGGGGTCATTGATGCGTGTATTAAGCTGTCGGGAATGCCTGATCTTTCCCTTTCTTTCATGGTAAGTTCTTCTCTCATCACCTCTTGCATGACGACTACATTATTGTTGTTACGTGCCGTCGAGTCGATTCTGACTCATAGCAACCCTGTAGAGCATTTCTGAGGAGCAGCTGATGGATTTGAACTGCTGACCTTGTGGTCATCCTACAGTGCCACACCAGGAGTTCTACATATGGCTACTACATAACTAGATGATAAATGCTAAGACAAGTTTCTGTTCCCAATTGGAACCAATTCTCTCAGAAATATTTCTCATAGAGCTGTGTAAGACAGTAGCTGACATGATGTGTGTGACCATTAGGGAAAGGCTATAGACAGTTCTTTGCCAAGGTGTCCTAAGTTTGTCAACTTAATTCTACAAATCTGCAGTGTCATTTTTACTGAATAAGCGCTTGTTTTGCTGATGACAACATTAGTCTTTTGCATCATTTTTGAGATTCCGCATGACACTGCTAAGGACAACCAAGAGAACTACACTTTGTTGCTGTCTCTGCCATTGATTTGTTTTGACCTTAAGCTATTTGAACATAGTGTTTTGACCTGTGGAATAGAAATACTCGTACTTGTCTTCTCTACCTCGTTGTTGTTGGTAAGTGCTGTCAAGACGATTGGTTCAGACTCAGATCGACCCTCTGTCGGTTTTCTGTCTCGTGGAGTGTTTGAAGTTCAGTAATACAACATAACGTGAAATGTTTACAAGCTAAAAGTGACCTGGTCATGATGACAAACTCTTACGTGACTGCTTTCTCTTTAGGGACCATATTATCTGAGTGGAGGTGCCATAGCCATTATGTTGTTGTTGCTGTTAAGTGCCATCAAGTTGGTTCCAGTTCATGGTGACCTCGCATAGTGTTTCCGAGGCCAGAAATCTCTGCAGAAGCAGAAAGCCTCGTTTTTCTTCCCAGGGAGCCACCGGTGACCTTGAACTACAGACCTTGTGGTTTGTAGTCCTGTGCTTCTCCTACAGAGCCATCACATGCCCATATATGTTACACTTTTAAGAATATGACTGTCGTCTGTTTTCCCTGTCAGAACCCCAGGCTTTTGGACGATGTCAGCTTTCACCCTTGCATCCGGTTCAAGCGTTGGGAATCTGAAAGAGTTTTGTCATTTATTCCTCCAGATGGAAATTTCCGACTCATATCTTACCGTGTCAGCTCACAAAAGTATGTTGATGCAACAGCTTCTCCTTTTTCTAGGTCATTCTGATACTCGGGTACTTAAGTCCATCTTTGTTCCATTGAGTCAGAGCTTGCCAGGAGACCAAGGAAAGACTGGTCAAAGTATATATTTAAAAGAATCAGTGCCCCTTGAATCTATGAGTGTAGAGTAGCTGTGAATGGGACAGTATTTAAACTCATAGCTGAGAGAAGCATTTTGGACTGCATATCCCCTAGGCAAAACCAGGAAGCTCTGCCATGTCTTAGACCATGTCTGCCGACTTTGGGCTCACAGTGAGAGACAGATCTACCAGGACATTCCCCATTTAAGCAGCTTCAGATCACTCTCTTGTGCATTGTGTTTAAATGGATGGTTTATTATTTTGGTGTGTAGCTGGTTTGTACTCCTAAAAAGAACAATTGGGTAACATCACAGGACAGGACTTACAAAGCAGAGAAATGATTTGACAGTATGTACAAGCTGCTTTTAGTTTATAGAATTTTAAATTACCTGTGAGATCGTAATTCATTTCTTTAAACTAGGGCCATTTGTCCCAATTATTTATATTAAGCTTCAGATTCCGCTTTTATATACTTGGTGCTCAGAAATCATATAGTTAGTTCCCAGCACAATGCTACTGCTGTGCTCTCCTCAGCTGCCCCTTTGTGCAGGTGCTGAACCTGCAGTGCTTTCCGGAGGTGTCAGGCCCTAGAGTTGGTGTTAGAGACTCACTCAAGTCATTGGGTCACCTCTGCAGCTGTCTCATACCATTAACTCTGTATTTGTGTGTTTTTGTGCTTTTCTCTATTTCTCTCCTTAGTCTAGTGGCGATTCCAGTGTATGTGAAACATAGCATCTGCTTTAAGGAGAACAGTTCCTGTGGCCGATTTGATATTACAATTGGACCAAAGCAGAATATGGGAAAAACTATTGAAGGAATCACAGTGACAGTTCACATGCCAAAAGTCTTGTTGAATATGAACCTGACACCAACACAAGGCAGCTACACATTTGACCCGGTCACCAAGGTATAGCCACTTCACATTAAGAGTGAACAGGTGTTCTGTAATCTTTATTTTGTGATTTGGGGGTGAAGAGGACAGGGTAGTTAGTGCCGCCTTTAAATCTGAAGTTTCTATCCAAACCTGGAGAGAGTACTGTGCCACTGTCGACAGAAGGAATCCTCCCATCTGCTACCAAGTGGATGAAAAGAGAAGGCCGCACTAGTGAGGCTTGGTCCGTTCTCCGTCAGCGGGCCTTTACTTACCCACTGATAACCCAGAGACGCATTCACTACTTACGAGAAGGAAGACACAAAAGAGAAAAGAAGACCTGTTGGTGCTGCGGGTTAATGCGCTGGACTGCACGGTCGGCGGTTCAAGCTCACCAGCTGCTCCTTGGAAACCCTATACAGGGTCGCTATGGGTTGGAATTGACTCAACAGCACTTAACAACAAGAAGAAGAAGCTATCAATAGAATTTATTAACTGTTCATGTTTTCATGGAACTTGATCAGTAAGACCTTTCTCTTTATAATGTTAAGATCCTCATTTCATACTTTTCCACAGGATAAGTTGCTAGGAAAGTTATATGGATAAATGTGCCTCCAGCAGGTTGTCAGAGAAGCTATAAAAGATGATTTTCTTTTAGATTTCCTCCTTGGGTAAAAACTGTGATGCTTCCCAACAGCAGAGCGTGAAAAACCACCCTTCACTGCAATGTCAACCATAAGAGTTTCAGTTTCATCTCTCTTTAAGCTTCCACATTTAATATTTCCTTTCAACAAAGGGTTCCCTGGCAAAAAGTTTGAAAAAAACAAAACATTGGTTTTAAGTCATTTTTCTAATTCTATAGAAAAGTGAATTGAGGCCCAGGGAGAAGCAATGAAGGTGTATAATAGAAGAAACCATTTGAAGTTGGATAGCCTTCTGCTGAAATGCCAGCCTGGCCTCTAACTAGTGGTGTGACCTTGAGCAAATTCGTTGATCTTCATGAGCCTTAGGTACTCATTCGGAAAAAGTGGATGCTTAACACGTTGGTTCCTCACCCTCCTTCCTCTTTGAAGGCCACAGTGCTAATTAGTGATAAATTCGTTTCCAAGACACTGTGCTTCATTTTGTACAGAAGATGTGATCATCTTGTCTTTGATAAGGGATTCAATTCCGATTGTTTTTGTCTTTTATTTCTTAAGGTACTAATGTGGGACGTGGGGAAAATTACTCCACAAAAGCTCCCAAATCTCAAAGGGCTGGTAAATTTACAGTCTGGAGCACCCAAGCCAGAAGAGAACCCAAGCCTGAACATACAGTTCAAGATCCAGCAGCTTGCTATTTCAGGTAAGGATGTATCGACAGTTTGTGTTTGAGAGTAACTGAATTTTGCTGAGTTCAGTTATTAGGAGCTGGTGCTGTAGGATAATGCATTGGACTGCAACGTCAGTTTGAACCATGAGGTTGGCGGTGCAAACCCACTAGTGGCTCCTTGGAAATCCTACAAGGGTCGCTTAGAGTTTAAGCACTCGGTGGCATGTAACAATAACAACAGAAGGGTAACTAATATTTCCTCTTTATATTAAAAAAAAAAAAAAAAGCTCAGATCTACCTTTGATGCTGTGGCACTCACCTTTCAGGTACCAGGGATTTCATACAGCCTTCCTCACTCCCACCCTCATTCACTTACAAAGACAGAGTCACTCAGAGTCAGAGAAAAGTACAAGTACCCTTAAAGGACATTAGCCTGCCCACTGGGGAGTCTGAACTAAAACCATCTCCCGACCATCCCGTGAGATGTGGATAGTATAGAAAGGTGGACACTTGTAAATGGTGGAAAGGACACTGTAATGTTGTGAGATCTCCGTATAGTGCTCAGTGCTAAATAGTGTATTCATTGGTGTGACCTGAAAGATAATCATTTATTCCTTTCTTTACCTATTCTCTTTGACACAGGCTTAAAAGTTAACCGCTTGGACATGTATGGGGAGAAATATAAGCCATTTAAAGGAGTCAAGTATGTCACCAAAGCTGGCAAGTTCCAAGTGAGGACATGAGGCCAGAATTCCTCGAGATCACTATTTTCCAACTGTCATTCTAATATCTTACTGCTGAGTAACGAGTGGGTGGGGTACATACTCTAGTTATAGCATTTGTGTCGAGCTACACACCCCTAACAAAATCGCTTAGTAATCAAAGTAGGGTTCTTAAGGAGCTTTAAGCTAAGGAAACTTTTCTAATGACTTTGCTTGTTTTGTATCTTTTAATTAAGGAAGACTTTGGCGGTGATTTTCTCTATAGAGGGTTATTAGCTGGACGCTGCACATTTAACAGAAAGATGAACTTCTCTCCTAAAACACGTGAGCTGGTCTCAGCCCGCAGGCGCTGTCTTAACCTGTGATATGATGTGTCAGGTGCGGCCAGCAGTCTTACCTTCTGGTCTTGCCTCCCCCACATCAGCTGTCCCCCCGCCCACCCGGAGACGTTTACAGAACACTGCCTCTTCAAGTGTTTGCCTTATTCAGTTTTTCACTTGTGCCATTAAGCAAGCACTGTAGCAACAGCCACCTCCACAGGGCCCCAGCCGGAGCTCTGCTGCTCCCTGCTCCACTCTCACTGTACTTGCTATTGTATTTTTTATAAATGAGATTTTTATGTACAACTCAAGTTTTGATTTACAGAGCCCTTTGCTGCAGTAAATGGCACCTCAGTTTTGTGCGGCTGGTTCCATTGTCAGCTAGCACAGTAGGAGTCATTTGGCTCAAAGGGTGACTGCTTCATTGAGGCAATAGCAAGGACACTGCTGCTTTTAGGAGAGACTGTAAGCACAAGCATTGAGCTCTGAAGCTGCCAAGGCAGTGAGACAGGCTTCAGCTGCAACCATCGCCATCTTCGGTTAGCTAGAGCTTCCCCACCATCACTTAACCCAGACTTAGCCTGAGCGCCTCAGACCTTAGATTAGCAAAAGGAGAGAAATGTGCCTGCCTCACAGTCCTCAAAAACAAACAGAAATATGTTTTTGTTTATCTTTTCGGTGACCTGCACCCTTTGTCTTGCGGGGGAGCTCCTTTTTCACATTGTTTGGTTTTCCTTATGTAGAGAATCTCAACTGATTAGTGTACTCAGACTCTTCCCAGAAACAATTGTACCTGTCACTGGAGTGTTTCTACTGTGCTGAGAAAATACATGGAAATATGCTACATTGAATGAGAAACCAAATTCTCAGTAACATTGATGACATCACCGTGGTTTGCTCACCACTCAACCTTAGTGGCTTGGAAGCCCAGGCCCACTTATTTGCCTCACAAGATAAACAGAAATGGTGGAAGGCTGAAAATAAGTTCATGTTCATTCTCGTTCACGTTTATGTTTACACGCTCCCATGTCGACTGTCCACGGCTAGTGTTGGTGCCGCTGCGGGAATCCTACACTCCAGTAGCTTTTGTCCCTACACTTGCCTGCGGCACTCACCGTGTCTTTCATCTAATACAAAAGGCCTATTTTTACAACTACTTTTAATTTCTAGGGTAACCAATTTGGCAACAAAAATCAAGATGTTGCCAAATACATAGTCCCTTGTCTAAGGTTTGTTCAGCTGCCTCCTTTTCAATGTCTTCCTCATAAGAGTTCTTACCTCAAAAGAATCAGAGAACATCAGCTTTTCTTTCTATAGAAACTCTAATCGCAACCGTCCATACTTGGATTGTTCAATGTACCTTTTGTGCTGTTTTATATACAAGCAGATTGTGTGCCAAGAGTCCCTTGTCTCTAGAAATTTCTGCCCCATGTGGACTTTTTACAATTAAATTATTGTATTTATTAATTTGATAGAATCCAGTAAATCTTTTCTCTAGCTCTGGCTATCCTGTCAATAAAAAGATGAACGCAACAAGGTGATTTTCTTTTTGCTTGATTATGGTTCAAACTCACCAGCTGCTCCTCAGATACTCTATACAGGGTTGCTATGGGTCAGAACCGACTCGACGGCACTTCACAACAACATTGAGCAGATGGGGGGTGGGGGAGGGCTCAGTGCTAGAGCAGCTGAACATGATCCGATCGTAGTCCTGATCACACAAGGTGTGAAGGCAGCTCAGCACTTCCAAGTACTCCTGTCCTAATGACACCATGCATGTTTTTCCTAAGCATCACTCTCCTGGCCCCAGACCTGGAACAGTAAAGGATCAAAGCTACTCACCATTCAACTCAAACCACTAACAAAACACTTAGTGTCAGACTAGTTTTCTCCAATCATAGAGTTCAAGCTAACTACAGAATAACTCTTCTTTCTAACAACAAAACAATTTTAATCAATGATATCCCACTTTTAAAGTTCTTAAGGATGTATATCCCAAGTGCAAATAAAGTGGATCCTCATTTCATGGTGGAGGGAGTTACCGTCAGATGCATTCATTCCTGTACAGTCCATACTGTTGTCGGAGATGACTCAGAAAAGTCAGTAGCCCTGGACATCGCCCTTTCACTCAAACAGGCCAGACTCTGCCTCTGATCAGCACGTTTTCTAACTTAAATCAGTGATCCGCGCAATCAGCAGCACTGACTATTGGTCCTAACTGATGACCCTTTCAGACCTAGAAAATCAAGCAGAGAACCAGCACGCCCCAGCTGTTTCCTTAAGAGGGGTTGCTATTTCAGTCAATGCTCCCTTCAGCAAGAAGAGGAATATGCCCCCCAAAATTAGCTTAGTTCTGCAAACTGCTTTTGGAATATTAAAAAATTGACCTCTTGCACTTTGAACCGCTTCTTCGGGCACAGTGAGGGATCTCCACCAATAGCTAGGAATTCTAAGATGAAAACGATTACTTCAAGCTTGGGTGGTAAACTAGTTGCTTTCTTCTTCCTGTTACCTTTGCCACGGCCCCTCCTCGAATATAATCGCCAAAGTGGTTTTTCAATCACACAGATCCTTGTAAGTAAATACAGCACTGCTGGTTTCTGGTTCTTCCAACACATTCTGAAGAAATAAAAACCTACAGATTTTAGACCCTTGTGGGTTAGTTTCATTAGCCTGACAAAGATTCTGGCTAAAACAACATAACCCTCATTGAAAGCATTGTTTATACAAACGTACTTTATTGTTTTAAACAGAACAAAAGAGGCAGAAAATATTTGCATATAACAAATCCTAGCTTATAAATGTGATTTTTAGGGGTGACATCTGTTATTCATGAATTTAATTAGGTTTTTTTTTTAATGCTTCACTGTATCTTGAGCATAATATTGCAGAAAAGCACATCTGGCATAAAGTGTAAACCAGTGACTCAAAACACTGGGAGAACCTAGAGAGCCAACATGATTTTTCTGATTTCCTCTAAGTCATCTTTAGTAAAAGAAAAAGTGATCTTTGGCATAGATTCATACTTAAAGGCATTAATTAATAATTGCATTTATATCAGGTAAGCTATTAAACAGATATGCTGAGGACCTTGGAAATAATGTTCATCACTTAAAGGGAAACAGACTGTGCAGGACCAATTCAAGACAAGTTCTAACACACATTAGGGGTAAGAGGGATGGGCATCCAGACAAGGTTCATTCTTTGACTCATCTGTTACCGGTTTTGGGAACAAATACGTCCTCTGATATGCTGGGGAATGCTCAGACCACAGTGATAGGAGAAAATCCACGTTCTCATTTTGTCTAGTAGAAAACGTATTATGGTCATAATTAGACATACCCTCGGCTCTCTCAGTCAGTCCTGTTGCAGGAACACGAGGGGCCTGGTTGTAGTTGAAGGGCAGTAGAATTCCAGCAGAGTGTTTCCCACTGATGGATCAGGTAAACCCACAGCAGTGCAGAACCCCAGGCTACTACTACTCTCCTTAGGCAGGAATGTCCTTCAGACTTTCCATTAAACAATTGTGAGGGCCAAGCACCAATTTTCAGGACTAAATTTCAAGTGTCTTCAAAATTACAGATGATCAAACATATCTTTAAAATCTTGTTTCAGGAGGGGTAAGGAGGACTACAAAAGCTAAGAAACATGACATGGTTAAAATTAAATGCAGCATTTCAGCTCATAAAGAACAGTAAGAGCTTAGAATGAATGACAGGCCTCAGCACAGACCTCTGCAGGCAGTGACCAAAGCATAGAGTGCCTGGGAGTGGCCACTCCAGGGCAGGCAGCACCAGGACCGTGTTTCTGCCATGGCTAGCTTGGCCAAGGCTAGAAATGGGCAGAAGGTTGCCCTGCACAGACATCGCCTTGGGGCACGTTGAAGACAGAATGGTGTGATTCTGTGATTCCCTTCTGGCAGAATGAAATCTGATTTTGTACAGTGGGGGACTAGGGTTAAACTGGAGAAGGGCAGAATAGGAATACAGGCCCCATACACTGAGGGTCCTCAAGGCCACCTTGCCCTGGAGCAATGAAGCTCACTTCTGAAAAGGACCCAGGTAGCACTGCCCAGGGAAGGCAGGCAGGGTCAGCAGCAACATGGAAAGTCAAAAACAATTTCTGGAGGCATAGTGATTTTGTTCTCAACTGACTTGCCTGGGCCCTAGGTCTTGGGAATCTAGACGGGAGAATGGGGGCAAAGACAGGAAGTGGGTTTCTCTTAGGGCTCTGTTCCCTAGAGGACAGGGACAGAAAAGGGTGCCTAGCTAGTGTTTGCTCTTGGATTCAGAACTTCTGTCAAGTCCATGGGCTATAGCCCCAGTCTGCCTACTGGGATAGAGTGTGCACAAACAGAGCTATTGTTGAGAATACAGGCTTTCTATGGAGACAATTTCAAAGTGTCCTCCACGACAAAAGAGTAAAATGGTTTCTAGTGTGAAGAGGCCCCCATTTCTTTTTGCTATAACAGGGCAGGGTGTAGTTTCCACCTCCCAGCAATGCTGAGAGGTGATTTTCCTTCTGTTTTATAGGGGTTTCTGTGTCATAGGTTTGGCCTGGGACCTACTGATACCAGGGAGTCTTTCTAACCCAGCGCAGTGTAAATCCGGCATCTGTTCGAATTTTGATTGAAGCTGCTTCAGCTTCTCGCACGGTCTCCTTCACAGACTGCATGAGGTTCTGGGCATTGTGAACCAGCATCTCTGTGGCCTGAAAGGGCAGAAGAGCTCTCCATTACTCACAGACCCAACTGCAGCCTGCCTCTGAAACAGACTTCAGCCAAGAGTGGCGATATTTAGCCCCAATTGTACCTGGCATCCCTGTACTTGCTTTCATCCTGGTGACTCGTCTGGACCAACAGAACCCAGACCTGGATCCCTAACTGCCTGTGTACTGTGCCCTCAGATGCTTCCTGGTCTCTGAACGCCTTGCCTCGGCCTTCTTACTCTTACTGTTGCCCCTATACCTGGAATGCTCTTCCTCCAGGTGTCACATGACTCATTCCTCATTTCCTTCAGATCTCTCTGCTCATGTGTCCCATTGGTGAGGCTTTTCCTGTTTACCGTATTTCAAATTGCTAACCAACTCCCTAAGCCCCAGACTTCCTAATCCTCCAATTCTTTATTTTTCTCCAAAGATGTACAATGTAATTGACCTTGTTTAGTTGTGTGCTCATTTTATCTGTCTCCACACTCTAAGTTCCATGAGATATTTGTCAGTTTGGCTTCATTGCTCTACCCCCAGTGTTTAGGACTGTCTGGCACATAAGAGGTCTTTCAGATTTCTTAATAAATGAATGAATGAGAACTAAATCAAGTCAACCAACCGCCTTCTAAATCCATGAAAATCTAAATTTCACACATGTTCACAGGACTAAAACCACACTGGTATGTCACAACAAAAAGCCCACTTGGCCACTGATTAGCCTTCTAATCCTCAACTACTTTTAAGGCACAGACCCTTTCAGAATCTCCTAAAAGCAGTCCCTCCAG